GCCATCTTGGCCCCACCTGATGTTAACTTCTTAGAAAGCCGTCAGCCTGTTTTCCACACTCTCAGTGCAGGAGTGCAGGAGCATTCCAGTTGCTCCGTATGCCTGTCACGGTTGGTCTTTTTTGTTGTTGTCTTTATTTTTAGCCATTCTAATAGGTGTGCACTGGTATCACATTGTGGTTTTAGCTTTAATTTCCCTAATAACCAAAGCTGTTCAGCATTTTTCTACATGCTTACTTGCCATCCATATATCTTCTCTTTTACCCATTTTTTAATCAAGGTTTCTTCTTATGAGTGAATTGCAAAAGTTCTTTATACATTCTGGATAGACTCTTGACCAGATACATTTTGCAAATATCGTCTCCCAGTCCATGGCTTGCCTTTTCATTTTCTAACTGTCTTTCAAAGAGTAGTTTTTAATTCCGATGAAGTCCAAGTTGTCCTTTTATGGTTCGTGCTTTCTGTGTCCTAAGCGATCGTTGCCTAACCCAACGTCACAGACTTTCTCCTATGTTTCCTTCTAGAAATTTAACAGTTTCCACGCTTACATTTAGATCTAGATCCATTCTAAGTTAATCTTTGTATGGTACAAGGTTCAGCTGTTCATGCATTCAAGATAAAATATCCTTTGTGGACTTTAAAGCAGGACGAACGCTCAGCAGCCATTCTTGGTCTAACAGTCATATCTCAGGGTGTGACACGTGGCTTCCCTAGCAGGGAAGTATATGAAGAATCAAACTATTTTTTCTAGTAACTGTGCTCTTAAAAGCTGCTTCTCCTAAATTGTTCTTAATGTTTGTCCACTTTTCTCCAACCCCAAGCCGCAGCCCTCTCAAAAAGTAGAGTTGGGTCAACTGAAACAGGAAATCTCTAGTCGTGGCATTTCCTTGGGATTTCCCACTTTGACAGAAGCCTGCAGTAGAGCTGAGCAAGGACACTAGCCCGCATTTCACAGCCTGGAGCTACACGAGGCCACTCCAGCGAACACTGACATGAGATCAGAGCAAGAATTCCAAGGGCGAATCTTGAGCAAAGCCCCCACTGGTTTTACTTGGGTTGGTGGGCATCCCGCGGTGGGCGGGTGGGGGGGAGTGGTGGTGCATGTGGAAGAGTAGGAAAAACATGCTTTGTTGAAGTCACATCTCCCTGATGTGTCAGCATGCCTGGGATCAGTTTGAGTTTGACTCTGAGCAGAGAATGATCCCCACAGTCCTAAAGGGCTGTGCTCCCATCTGCAGAAGGGCCACAGGTCCTGCCAGGCCCCCTCATCACCTGAGTCCCCTCCTCACCCTTAGCTGACAACCCTTCATGGAGACTAGGATGTGTCTTCCCCCACCCCACCAAACACACCCATGTGCTGGCGAGGAAGGGCAGCCAGATTGGAACTGCACTGGGCTTGTGCTCACATGCCCTTGGAATGGAAACAGGAGGAAGGCTTTGCCTCAAATTGAGATTTCAGGCCTGGCGTTTAACAAATTGCAAAATGAAGCCTTATGTGTGCAGGGAGGATCCCATTTTAACAACTGCCTCCAAGAAACCGAGTTCAACACGACGCCATACTAACAACCATTAAAAAAAAAACTCTAATTTTCGTGGCATCTATCCTTTCAGCAGTTATTTTACTAAGCATGTAGATATGTCACTATATTTTAATATTAATACAGAAATAAAATACTTCAAAACTGGTATCTTTCCAAATGTTATGTGTATGATTTTTGCTGAGGGAAAGAAGAGAAAGTAAAAATTTTTTGAAAGACACTTTCTGGTGCATTCTGGACTCAAACACATGCCAAAAGTGGCCTTGCCTTGCAGCTACAACACAGGCAATTTTACACCCCCACCCTACTCTGTGACACAGGCACAAGGAAAACCATCTGATAAAAGGAAAAGAATAATTTCTATCTCATTCAAACAGTTACACATAAATACATCTGCCTTCTCAGGCCTTATTTCTTCCCTTTGGGAAAACTCTCTCTCCTTTCCATGTACTCTTTGAAAAATGGTGTATAAGACTGCAGTGCGATGGATCGCTTTTGTGTGGCCTTTCTCACCATGGTCTTGTAACTCCCACCCAAGTGATTGGGTGGGAGTGTGCAAGTATGGTAATTGTAGCCCACCAAGGGGATTGGTCAGTTTTGCCTTAAAACAGCCAATTCCAGAGCAGAGAGAGGATTCCACCACAACCAAGAAAGAACAGGCAGAAGTGGAAAGCGTATCCTTTGGACCCGGGATCCCTGCGCTGAGAAGCTCCTAGAACCAGGAGACAGGCAGAGAGAGCTCAAGAAGCAGTGGGTGGCAGAGAAACAACAGCAGGAGATGGTAGGGTGGGCTTCTGGCCAACAGAACAAGAAAACTAAGTGTCTTTGGGCAGGAGGCTTGCTTGCGGAGTACGGTGCTTCTGGGCACTTATCAGCAGAGCTAAAAGAGCTTTGTAACACTTGCCCAAGCAAGACAGAGGCTAAGGGCCAGAGAGAGGTGTGCCTGCGAGCACGGCTGGGAAGAGGCTGTCCTCGTGGAAGAATGGTATCCTGAGCATCCCTGAACCTGAACTGTAACCTGTTACTTCCCTAATAAATCCCATAATCATGAGTATTGTCTGTGAGTTCTATGTGGCCACTGCAATGAATTATCAAACCCAGCACAAAAGTAAAGAGTGCTGTGGGAGGGACGGTTGGTGTCAGAACTGGTAAAGATGGCAGAGAGCGGAGACATGTCTGATCTCTGCCCCGTGGGAATCAGCCTTGGGTTGTTGATCTTGATTCTCCTTCCCCCTAGTGAAGTTAGAGGAGGTCAGACTCCACCCGTACGATGTTTGTACAAAGATGAAATATGCTTTTTCTGGATACTTGAGTGGTTGGCCATGATAATATGCAGACATCATGCAACCACACACACCCTCCAGCCTCTTACATGGATCCGAATATCCAAAGACTCTCTAAGATGTGACATTCCAGTGCCCTAGGACCATCTTCCTCAGTTTCTGGAACGAAGCCACCAACACCACTGTTCCAAGAGGCACTCCCCTTTCATTCACTACTTCTTTTTATATAATCCCTTCATCATCTCCTCTCCCTGTTGGAAGAATCAGTTCATGTTTCCACGGGTTTGGTATTTGTTTGTGATTCCATAGCTCCACAGTTACTGGCAAAGCTAAATCTAGAGCCTAGATCTTCCTAACACCTCGATCTGTGACCTTCAAGCTGCACTGCACTGGTATTCACAGCTTATGCAAATGTGACAGAGGCCACCCCACATTCTACATTCCCTAAGGACTGAAGTCATAGCTCTTGTCCCAGCTTTATTTCTAAAAAGTGGACCCTAAGACTCATTGCGCAGCCATAGGTTTCCTCAAGCACCAGCTTCTGATCCTGCTTTCAAGGCCTCCTAAGCAACGAGGACAAAATTAAGATAAACCATCACCAAGAGTTTAAAGGCATCCATCTATTCCCCTCTTCCACATACCCGGGTGCATTTTTTCTCCTCAAAAGTAAAATGACACCATTTACGTTTTTAAGCAGCATTTCCAAATGGGCCAAAATATTTGTTCAAAATTAACCAGCCACTTATCCAACATGATGTAGTTTCCCAATTCCCAAACCACACTAAGGTCTGTATGCCCTACTTCTGATTCAAAATGTTAATGTTTCTCAAATGTTCAATACAACCGAATCTTCATGCTTCCATATTTTCTATAGGCGTGGATAGTCATCTTTTATGGATAACTTACAGGGAACATAATAAAACAATGGGGAGGCTGTAACATGTGTCATAACCCCCTCCTCATTATCTCTCCCTATTTCTAGAGGTCACTTGGCAGTGTAGTAGGAGAACTTATACATTTAAAACCTAGCTTTGTCCAACATGAAATATTCAGGATAACTCATCAAAACAATTGTTAAACCTCCTGCTAACAGCCAATCTCCTGTCTGCTGCACCAGTGTTTTTTCCAACGTGTTCTCCAAGGAACACCAGTTCTGTTAAGATGCTCAGGACCACTCCCCCAAGAGTTTCAGACCAAGAAGTTTGGGGGAAAAAATCTGAGAAGCACTGCAGGCTTTACCTCCTTCTTATAGACCATCAATGTACATTAACATTTCAAAGGTTGTGAGAAGTCCTGCAATAAAAGTATCTATTTCAAAACAATGATTCCCAGATCTTTTTGTATTCTAAGCACTCCTGAACTACTTTTTCTAACATGTATTAACATCCCAAAGACCAACTAACTGTTTTGTGGAACATACTTTGGGAAATGTTCTAAGCTTACACTGCCCAATGCTGTAGTCACTGACCATGTGTGACTATTTAAATGTAAATACATTAAAATACATTAAAATTGAATTAAAAAGTCAATGCCACATGTGACTACTGGCTACCATGCTAAAAAGCACAGCCAACAACATTTCAGTCATCGAAGGGCATTCTATTGGACGGCACTGATCTAAATAAACCAGGGCTGGCAAACATGAGCCGGCCCACCCTCCACCTGTTTTTGTTAACAGTTTTATTGGAACGCAGACACGCCCATTTGTTTATATCTTGTCTATGGCTGCTTTCTGCCCTGCAACAGCAGAGATAAGTAGTTGGGACAGAGACCCTACAGCTTCCAAAGCCGTATGTACCTATCTGGATCTTCGAAGACAAAAATTGCCAATCCCTGCTCTAAACCAATAATTGTTCATTCACCAACATACATGTATTAAGCTCCACGTGCTGGGAAGTTGGTGGTGAACAAGACACGATTCTTGCAGTCTGTGGGTTACAGTCTGGTGGGGGAGAAGAACCTTCACTTACTAAGTATTATTCTCTTACAAGACTCCCAAATTTAGTAAAGTTATGTCAGGGTAGATATGCATTTTGGGAAATACTAGAATCCACTTGGTTTAGAATATTTTAAGCTTAAAATAGCACCTTACAGGAAAGAATTACTTTAAAAAATAAAAATGTTTATTTCATTTCTGGCAAAACAAAGAAAGCACGACATTTATACGTTGTACACCTCCCTATCCTGAGTGAAACTACTCACTGTTCCTGTCTTACTTCCTCAGTCAGACTGTCAGCAAATACATAGCTTTTATGTTTTTCCAAGTCAGTATTTTTTTAAACTTGCCCACAATGACATCACTCTCACCCCTATTTTTTAGTTTTTTAAACAATAGCATTTACAACATCAATGAACACAGAAAAATGCGGTCAGCATTTTCCCTGGCCACAGAATACCAACGTGTACCTAAATATTCCAGGACTGAATAATATTAGGGTTTATGAAAAAAGTAAAAAAAACCTCCATCTGGCCTGAAAGCAGGAAGTGACTCATATCTGGACAGGAAAATGTGAAAACCAGATGAACATTATTCAGCTGTTTTCAAACTCCAGACTCAAGGGTTGGTGAGACCTTTCTGCAGTCTTCAGACAGCCCCGTGTGTTGCATGTCAGCTCCATGGACGGCGCCACTGATCCCGTGTGGGCCGGCTGCTGGGGAGCCTTCACTGCAGCGCAGCTCTGCACCAGATGAAGAGTTCACAGCCAGCTGTCTGCCAGGTGGAACTCTGTCTCCTGCTACCCTTTCTGAGAATGACACCGTGCTGACCCAGGCTCTGAAGATCAGTAAGGTGGGCACTGCTGTGAAGGACAACCACAGTGGCTTTCCCTCACGGAAGTGATCCCTGCATCTAATGTGACAGTCACAGTGGCTCCTGCTGGGGGAGGGGTTTCACTAAGTTTAAAATTAGTTAAGCACTCTGTCGATTTTGTGGCCAAACAACACTGTGGTTATAAAAACAAAAACAGCATGGGAAAATGCTTATAGTATCAACTGAAAAATTACAAATTGTATGTTTAAGATGATTATAGTTTTGTTTAAAATATAAAAGAAAAACAGACTAAAAATAAATCATCAAAAATGACAGGGTAATGGTTTGAGTGGTGGAATTACATATAGGGATTTTTTTTATTTTCCAAATCTCCATAACGTAGTTCATAATTCTAAAATGCAAATATATATGCATGCAAGTATATATTTACAACCCATTCCATGTCTGCTGTTGCACGCTATCGAGTCAATTCTGACTCATAGCGACCCTATGTGACAGAGCAAAACTGCCCCATAGGGTTTCCTAGGCTGTAATCTTTACAGGAGCAGACTGCCAGGTCTTTTCTCCCACGGAGCCACTGGTGGGTTTGAACTGACAAGGGTTCGAACCGACGACCTTTCAGTCAGCAGCTGAGCACTTGGCCACTGCACCACTAAAACAAAACAAAAAACCCACTGCCAATGAGTTGATTCCAACTCATAGCGCAACCAGGGCTCCTTATTCCCTCTCACCTCCCTGCCACTCCAGCAGACTGTGTCCTCTGTCACACGGGAGTCCCACTACCTTTCTGAAGGGTGCAAGCAAACACATATCTAAATGGGAGGGGCTAGACAGCATGCCACCACCTGCAGGGCAAGGGCAGAGCCAAAGGTGCCAACTCAGACAGCATCTGCAGCAACCAGAAAGGCTCGGAGTGAAGCGGCCCACTTGTATCTGGCTAAAGCACGACAGGCCAAGGCAAGAAACTCTCCTAAGAGGCAGACTGAGAAGGAACAAGCAAGCTCACCATTTAGGGAGAAAGTTGGGGAACAGAGAGAAATGGGGCTGGGGTCCAGTAGCATGTATAGGCATGTATGTGAGCGGACCAACGGGGCTGGGACAAAGGGACCCGATGAGACTGGACCAGGCTTCCCTCTTGTGCTGAGATAAGACAAGAAGATACACTTCTCCTTTTTAAAATTTTGGTCGTTCAAAATTTTCTTCTTTTCTTATTCAAGATGCACAATAGGAATTTTCCTCAAATCTTACAAGTTAGCTCACAAAACCTTCAATAAAATCTATAACTACATTCAACTACCTTTTTATAATTGAATCAATACCTAATTTTTAAAACCAATACAATCATGTAACTGAAAAAGAAGGAGGAAAGCTGCAATCATAAGGGTGATACCAAAAGTCAAAACAGCATGACATACGGCATGGTTTCGTAATTCCAGGACACATGCTTTTCTCTCACATTTTAATGGCTCTGAAATCATGAGTCTTACAACCAATGGTTCTTAAATGAAGAACTCGGCATCAGTACTGGTAGAAGGCTCATTAACAACCTGCGATATGCAGATGACACAACTTTGCTTGCTGAAAGTGAAGGGGACTTGGAAGTACTTGCTGATGAAGATCAAAGACCACAGACTTCAGTGTGGTACACCACAACATAAAGAAAACAAAAATCCTCACAATTGGACCAATAAGCCACATCATGATAAGCGGAGAAAAGACTGAAGTTGTCAAGCATTTCATTTTACTTGGATCACAATCAACACCCATGGAAGCAGCAGTCAAGAAATCAAACAAAGCTTTGGGCAAATGTGCTGCAAAAGACCTCTAATTTAAAATGTTAAAAAGCAAAGATGTCACTTTAAGGACTAAGGTGTGCCTGACCCAAGCCATGATATTTTCAATCGTCTCATATGCATGTGAAAGCTGGACAGCGAATAAGGAAGACTGAAGAAGTACTGACACCTTTGAATTGTGATGTTGGTCAAGAATATTGAATATATCATGGACTGCCAGAAGAATGAACAAATCTGTCTTGGAAGAAGTACAGCCAGAATGCTCCTTAGAAGCAAGGATGGCGAGACCTTGTCTCACGTACTTTGGACATGTTATCAGGAGGGATCAGTCCCTGGAGAAGGAAATCATGCTTGGTAAAGTAGAGGGTCAGCGAAAAAGAGGAAGACCGTCAATGAAATGGATTGACACAGTGGCTGCAACAATGGGCTCAAGCATAACAACAACCATGAGGATGGTGCTGGACTGGGCAGTGTTTCAGTCTGTTGTACATAGGGTTGTTATGAGTCACAACTTACTCGACAGCGCCTAACAATAACTACAACAACAGCCAATGGTTATCTCACGACTGCTGCTGGCCAGGTGGCCGTAAGGCAGTGGTTGAAGAAACACACCTGCAAACTGGGTACTGGTGGCTTAGAAGAAAACCCAAGAACAGCAGCAGAACACACTTCCAAGAAATGCATCCTCACCAGTGCTCTGCACAGCACACAGGACACTGCTCTCCGAAACCAGAGACCTCCTGACCAAGTCAAAAAGGGATTCCTGGGGGGGTGCTCAGTGAATACACTTTAAGGATATCTTATTGGGTCTATTTTGATTACATTTTTCTTTCTATGCACGCACAAGAATGATATGATTTTAAAAAGTTGTATCTAAATCTTTGTGTGTTTGTATCTAAATCTTATAGGGTTCTTCCTATAAAATGACAAGCAAGCTATATTATTTAGTTAAGATTTCTGAGTTTACAGGGCTCAGCAACCAGGAGCTAAATCTACAACTGTACTAATCTCTAAACAATGTAAGATCAACTATGAATATCGCTTAATAAGTTTCCATTCTGAAGTGACTGTGGCCCTGGGCCTCTTTATGATCCCAAGCAGGCGCTGGGAGAAAGGACATCCTGCACTAGTTTTCTTCCTCTTTGCTTTGCTAAGCACTCCTCCACTTGGAATGTTGCTTTCACGGCCATTCCTAACAGAAGGAGGACCCATGAGAGCATGCAAAGATTAAACTGTCCGAAAGTTAAGATAGCCAACCAGTATCAACTCTCTACTACAAATATCGAATTCTGTAATCACTGGGTTGGCAACCACCAAACAAACAGCACAACAGTTTTAGATTACTTTGCCATCTACCTAAATGGTCTCTATATTCTCTAACTAAGAGGAAATTAACCTAATCATTTTAAATCCACTAATTAAAATGCACGCAGCAGTATGTTCTAATGTTTACATTTTCACCTTAGGGTAAAAAAAAATCACAAGGATTTCAGGAAAAGATTCTGAAAGTTTTAAACAAAAAGTTCAGACTTTTATAAAAGATAATCTGCAACAGGTTTCAGGAAGACACTGAACATGGAAGTGTCCCAAGGAGACCGGCATATCCCGGATCCTGCCGAAGTTGATTCCTTCTCAACACCATGTCCTTCATTTCCAATGAGAGCGTACAAATACTCTAAAACCTAGCAGATGGTCTTTCAATTTGTCAGAATATATACACTACTGCTCCCATATACCTTTCTATAAACAATCATAAGTTGAATACTAATGGAGTCACCTATATTATCACAGGTTCAAACCACAGAACATACGCTCTATCCGACCCAAAACTTCTCAAAATCTTTCCTGGCTCTTTCAGGTCACATGATAGTTATATATGAAAATCTTTTCTTAAGGCCATTTCTTTGTTTGTCTTTGATTTCCTCATCTCCCATTTATATTTATTATTTAACTCTAATTAGCTCTATTGGATTTATGTTTGAAAAGCAACAAAACACTTCTCCCCTCCCAAATAAACAGATCCACGGTACTTCATTGGTGCCTCCAGAGTAAGAACAAGAAACCAAACAAAAACCTGAAGTGGAGCTTCCGTTTTAACAAACAAAGGTAGAGGCCTTAAGGCAGGAAGAGATCTATTTCTTTAAGATATAATCAACAATCCAGAGAATATAAATAATTAATCAACGAATAGCTTTACACACTAATCCATAAAGAAGGCACTTAGGTGATTATATCCAAAGAAAAAGCATCTTAACAGTGAATATACAAGTCCTTTTGTGATTAAAAGTTACTTATTTTAGTACTGTGTTAGCTGATGCTTTCTACAGTATTCCGACATACTCTTCCAGCACAGTTTCGTTAAGAATGAGGTGATTTTAACTGAACTTTTATGCTAAAATGAAAGTCTTAGTGCTTTCCTCCTGCTTTTTTGGGCAAACCTGTATTTCAGAAAAACGTAACTGAATATGGCCCATAAAGCTCTTGCTGAGGAGTCTGGTTCCAAGTCAGACAGAAGAGGGTGTGCCGTTTCTTCCCCTGCACGCAGCTATCACCCCCAGACAGAGGGCACGGAGCAGTCCCAGGAGAGCTCTGAAGCCTGAATAGGAGGAAGAGAGCTGGGAAGAAGACCAGAGTTCAACATTCCAACACACCAGCGGGTATGTACCAGTTCTTTCTCCTCCAGGCCCCCAGCCTGAATGCAGCACAGCCTGAAACCCAAGTGGGCTGAGGCCCAGACAGAGAGCCCAGGAGAAGCCCTCAGATGAGCTCCCGACAAGAACAGGAAAGGGAATTCCTGATGCTCAGATAGCGGGAAAGCCCCCATTTGTCTTTTTTCTCCTCCCTTCTCTTGTGCCCCAGCTCCCAAATAACTCTGGGGCAGCGGCAGCAACAGAATCCCTCCGGAGCAACAGTAAAGGAGGGAAGCCGTCCTCTTCGATCTGAGGAGCTGTGATTCCAAGGGGGTTGGGTGAAACCTCACTCTTTTTCTCTTTCTGTCCTCCCGCCACTTGGTCCCAAACACGGGCATGGTCACGAAAGCGCACAGCAGAAGAGGGATAATGAAAGCCCCCGGGTACTAGAAAGATAACAGAGGCAAGGGTTCAGGGAAGCAACCCTATAAAGTTTACAAACTCCTGGGCTTAGCACCAAGCTGCACACGTGGATCTGCCTCTAAACAGCACCAACAGACGCTGAGATCTGAACCACAGACTACATCACCGCCCAAGTCTCGGACTGGTCACCAGGTAATGCACACACAGGACAGATCTAAATAGCGCTGCAGAGGCTTTGAAAACTGAACTCACATGGAACCACAACCCACAAAAAGCTAGTCAGAAATTGCAGCCTGAAACTAACCGGTTGATTGCTTGCTAAAACAAAAACTGAAGACCAACAAAGTTAGTGCACACCAGATGCTTTTCTAAACCAGCGCGTAGCACTGCCTGTTTTGATGCCAAACCTTAAAATAAACCAAATTAAATAATGATGGTTATAGAAAAAACTTTTTTTTTAATTTAAAAAGAAAGTTATACCTAATTACTGATGCAGTTTAGAAACCTGATACAAAGTTTCTGTTACAAATACCTTTGTTGTAAGGTGCAGTGGAGTTGACTCTGACACATGGCGACCCCATGTGTGCAGAGCAGAACTGTTCCACTGGGTTTTTAGGTACCGCTTACTCCTAACATTGACAGACTGCTTTATTCTGCTTATAATTCAAACGACTTACTAGATAGCAATAAACTGTCTTCCTGAACAGTGTACCAATTTACACTCCTACCGTTAGTGTACAAGAATTTACATCTCTGCATATCCTCATTTACATTATGCTAATTTCCACTGTCCTCATCGCTCATGAAGCTGTGCACCTTTCTGTTAGTATGTCTGGATTTTCCCTTCTGTGAACTGCCTAGCAAAGCCTTTTCCAAGGTTTTATGTTTGGCTGTTGGATGTGTTCGTATTCAATTGAAGGAATTCTTGAAATCTTTCCCTACCCCTAGGTCATGAAGATATTCTTCTTTATTAGACTCTAAAACTGTAAGAACTTTTTATTATAGAAAATTTCAAATATATACAAAGTGATGTAAAACAAACCCCATGGACCCTATCACCCAGCTACATGGACCACAAAGTCAGGACCCCTCCTTCGTTTATACACATAGTCACATCACCACCATACAGCCCCCCTCCCCGAAACTGGATGTTTTATATTAAATTCTAGACATTACAGTTTAACCATAAATATTTCAGTATGAATCTCTACCAAATAACTATAATATCCCTATAATGCCTACAAGAAAAAACAGCAATTATTGAATATAATATCAAATATCTAGTTAAGTTCACATTTCCTTTCTGTAGAACAAAAGCCCACACAAATAAGTATACAAACAAACTTTAATTTTCATTTCCCCACAACTTTGAAGATAACTAGAAAGGGTCGGGTGAAGGGAAGGTAGAGTGGAGATGAGGAGGGAAAGGAGTCAGGGCACTTCCTATATTCCCTGGCCATTCACACTCATGTTAACTGAAGAAGAGGGGAACATGGCACGAAGTCTACCAAGGAAGGCCCAGAGAAGTAATGGTTGATGTCACCCACTGAACAGGAAGTCCTACCAAAATAAGAATATCAAAACTCTAAGTCTATAGAGACATAAAAAAAAGTCAAATCACATCTGACCTAAGGTGCAGGTGAAGCAAGCCCGACACACGGTGTGCCAGCCCTGGGGCCCTTTCCTCCAACACTCCAGCAGCGTGGGCTTTGGTACCACCTTCCCGGAAGAGAGTAGGCCTCTCATCAGTTTTCACTCCTTGCCACTTCACACACTGTACTGCACTCGTGGCAAGCTGCAGCCTGCTGTTTTTAATCATGATGCCCAATTGTGTAGGCAGCAAGATGGGCACCTGAAAAATTTCTCAAAAATTAATCTGGGTAGCAGCTGCAATACAATTCCAAAAAAAAAAAAACTGAAATGCTATCAATGGAAGGGATCAGGCAACACACACAGTTCACTAAGAAATACCGAGCATATTTGTACTTGCAGGTGTCCAGGCACCACCAAATGCAGATAACAATAGGGTGGGACTAGACTCTCAATGGCCTTCAGGGACAGGCCTCGGGTTCTACCTAAAGCAACAGGTAACCGAGCAATACAGAAGGGCTGTATGCAGGAGCCTGTGACTGGGGAGACTGCTGAAGAAGAGGGGCCTGAGGGAAGCAGAGATGGATTTTGGAGGAGGAGAGAAGCAGCTAGAAGAGAAAGTAGAAAGGCGTGATTGCAATAGCCAAGGTGAGTGATCCTAAATGGTGAGGAGGCTGGCAAAAAGTCAAAGTCGACGTAGGACTGTGTCTCACTTACAGTCACAGCCAGGCGGTCACGAAGCCAGGACTAGGATCACATTTTGATTTATGGACCAGGAATCTCTCAGTTAAAATTGCTAAAGCCTAAGGGTCACCTTGACTGCCAAGGTATCTTCAGAGAATTTGGAAATGCTAACTTTTCACACCAGGACTTATAAAAGAAGATACCTATAAGATAATGGCTGTAATATGCCTCAAAAATGACTTACTCTTTTGAAACATTTTCCCTTTCTACCCTAAAAGCCTTTTAGAAAAAACTGGGTGGTTGCTAGCTTTCTGCCAAATATGTCTTACTTGCTTCCAATGTATCTTTATTAAAGAGATTAATTCTATACGGCCAATAACAAAAAACCATCTCAAACATTACCAAAACTATGCTAAAAGAAATCACAGAAAAGAGGATGTTATTATTATTTTAAAATAAAGATGAGAATTTAAGGGAGCAGGGAAATTAGATTAATGGAAATGGAACAACCAGAACAGAAATACTGAAAATGTTCATGCATTGTGAAGAATGTAATCAATGTCACTGAACAATCTGTGTAGAAATTGTTGAATGGGAACCTAAACTGCTGTGTAAAGCTTCACCAAAAACACAATAAAATACTATTTTTTAAAAAAAGAAAGAAACAAAAATATTTAGTTTTCAGGGAAAAAAAGGGGATGCCACTAATGACATAAGGGAAGGGGGGGGGGAGAACCAGAATCATTTTCTAGCACAAATATCCCCTTCTCCTTAGTTCTACACAACAGAATTCAGTTTCTTCATACTTAAACTACAAAAACATCTAAAATGCCTCCTGCTTTAAATTTTATTACTGAAATCCAGTTTTCATTTAAAAATTTAAAAACTATTCTTAAGAGTCTTAGCTGAGTAATAATGTTCCTAAAATACCAGCTTATTTTCTCACTTTCATCTAGTTGTCTGTGTTAATGAGGATAATTTTTAGAAGCATTACCTCTTTTAGTATTATTAAAATTTGAATAATCGCTACTAGGCTGATTAAACTGATCCTTCTTTCCTATTTCCTACATCACTTTATACTTAAGAACACTAAAGTTTATTTTTGTTTAGCTTTTTTTATCATGTGGTTACCTGGCATTAATATGATTTGTTAGTTCTCCAGAAAGAGTGACAGAAACAAAAAGTAGAACATTATCTAGAAAATATCAAGCTGATAAGAGTAAAGACATTTTCTAAAGTAGCAAAAATAGGAAATGAGTACACTTCCCATTCTGAACGGTTAGTGATATGGCACTTCGATTTAGGGGCCTGAGGAATCTCCTGTATTGCTACATGAAGACAAATATGTTACTCAGCACTAGTATGGACCACGCACAGCACCAGCCAGAAGTTCAGAGAAGCAATGCTGGAGCAGATGTGAGAAAAGGGTCTGGAGGGTGGCAGTGCACCACGTCTGAGGATAGCCAAGTGTCACTGGAGCTGACAGTGTGTCGAGATGAGTGACAGATTAGACCAGAGAGGGAAGGAGGACCATAAAGGGACAAAGGCAAAGACAGGCCAGGCCACCAAGGACACAAAGAGCAGATGGAGAGACTTAAGACTTCACAGGCATGTCATGGCTAACATGGGCTTGCCACCGTCAGTGCCAAGGGCTGATGCATGACACTTTCTAGCTCAGTGATCTTGGGCACAATCACGGGATCTCTCTAAGGCGTCCCTCATGTCCTCCCCTGAACAAAAGAACAATGGCGCCCACTTCACAGGACCTTGGGAATGACATGAAAACAAGCACACACCACGTTCATGCAGCGCCTGGTGCTCAGGACATGCCACCTGACACCAGCTGTGACTGCTGGCAAGTGGTGACACATTTTCAAACGAGGAGTATCATGACTCCACACGTACTGACTGAACTTCCTGCCTGAAGACAGAACTGGAGAGGAGCAAGACGGGAGGTGGAAGGCCCCACCAGGTGGCAGATGAAACGAAGGCCTGATTGCAGACAGTGGCAGAGATGATGGGGAAGAAACCTGAGACGTCTTGTGATGGCTTGGGCCTGGAGACAGGGCTGTCTTGGACTTCCAGGTCTTTGCACTAAATGACTGAATGTTGGTATCAATCACAAATACTGGAAACACAATTGAGAGGGTGGTGATGAAGACAACTGTTCCATCTTAGGCATACCAACTATGAGATACCAGCAGGTCATTAGGCGGAAATATTCAATTACCAGCTGGTTAATGTGGATTTGGAGTGCAGGAAAAGGGTCTCAGCTGGAGTCAGAGGTTTTAAAGTCATCAACACATTAATGATAGCTACATTAAGGGCTTAGGTAAGATTGTTCAGAGAAAGTATTAAGTGGAAGGAACAGGAAAGCACCTTGGGGACTACTAATATTTAAGAGGAAATTTCCAAGGAAACAGAAGCAGGCAGAAAAGCAAGAGGAAAACGAGGTAACTGTGGTATCAGGAAACCAGTGGAACGCATGCCATGTCAACTCCTGATGTATGATGTTTCACAATTTAAAACATCAATAAACCAGGAGGGCAGAATTTACGGTGGGGTAATCACCAAATGTCAACTAAAAGACGTAAGAACTGAAAAGCAACAACCTCTGCCCAACAAAACACTAAAAGAATTTAACAAGAAATGTGACTAATAAAACCAAGTTAACTTGCTGGCCAACTTCTGGACAGAGAAACTATTCCTATGAGCTACTGATGGAGAATACACCCTGTAGATGATGGTAATGTAGATAATGATGTTTGGCTCATTACTATGTTTTCTAAGTACTACATTAGTCTTGAGAAAGGACGACGATGGTCATACTACAGATCTGCCACGGCTCCTGTGAAAACGGGCTCATCCTCTCTCTCTCATTGCACCAAAGCATACAGACAAGAGACAAACACAAATAATGGCCATACACTTTTTTTGGCCTTATGTTTTGAAATTAACAACAACAGAAAAGCAACAGGGTGTCTCAATAATTAAGTCTCAAGGAATAAGTGCCAGGGTAAAGACAAGGCCACCCCTTAAGGTGAGAAGGAGGTGTGGTGGGCAGAGAGTCCAGCGTCGATTATCTGGGGCAAAAGTAGCAGCTCCTTGGGGAGGCCTATCTTCTGGAAAACATTCAGAAGGAAAAAGGAAAATAGCAGTTTTCAGAGTGGAGAAAAGCCTAGAATTTAGGTAATAGCTCTCCACTCTGGAAGCTGAAGCAGCGCTGCATCTTCAGGATGATCACGTGGTAGAGATGTTCCAACAAGAGAGGTGGGTTCTCGGAAGGAGTGAACACATGTGAAATGGAAATTATTACACACATGCCTAGGAGTGTTATGAGGGTTGAATGGGGTAATAAAACCTTACAGCGCTGTTGTAAGGATTAAATGTTTTAATACCAGAACATAAACGCAGGTTGCAGTTGGTAAGAAACGATTATTTCCAGAGTTATGACCACAGTCCGAGATGGGTGGCTCTCTTTGATTTTGTCAGAGTGGAGGCTTATTTCAATCACTATTCATTCACTTAAGCATCTGTGCAGTACAAAGCACTGTGCTTGAGACATGGGGGAAACACAGGAGGGTACAACAAACAAAACCAAACACAGCTCCTGACCTTGAAGCATGTAAGTTCTAGCAGAAGAAACAAATATACTATACACAACAAAAGGAGAGAAACAAAGAAAAGCTGCATGTAGAAGTTCAAGTTCCCTTACTATAAGGGATCCAAACAGGGAAGCCCCATCCTGATTTCTCCCCCTTCTGATGACTCTGCAGACTACAGCAAGTGTTTCTTATACCTGGAATTTATTATCTATTACGTTGTTTTACACAAACAACACGAACATTATTCATTTTTTGCCAACCACGCACCTCAAACCTCCACACGTTATTTGCATAAGCATAATTATGCCAATTTTTTTTTTACATGTTGCTGACATCAATTTCTATTTCTGACCACATGGAAACTTCACTTAATGTAGGTATTATAAACTTAAATTAATAGAAACAAATGTACAGTTTCGATTGTTTATTTTCCAATTACTGGGGGACTACCAAACTCAACCCATGACTTCCTGACCATAGCTTATACATTTATTATACAATTATGAGCAAAAGTATTATTTTCAGACTATTTGTAGACATATAAGCAGGAGATTAAAGAAAATGAACAGAATGATATGAATTATCAGTAACATGAGAGGACAGGTGAATGAGGTCAAAATTTACTTCTGGAAATGCCACGAGACATGCACGGTATATGTGTGGGCATGTTATTTGTGAAAAAATACAGTAGTCCTACACAATCACCTCTATTCTCCTCTTAAAAACTCTCCTATACAATCACGTAGTTGATAAAGTTTCAAATAAATTCAACTTTGTTATCTGTTGTCTAGAACGGCTTGCAGAAAGCCAAGCATGCAAGAGACTCTATCTGAAAAGTGTCACACATCACCTCGTAATTGCTTACTGGCTCCTCTAGAACAATGAAGTCCAATATGGTGGCCACTAACCACACTGAGCTATTTACATTTAAATTAAACATTCAGGTCCTCATCCCACTAGCCACATTCCAAGTACTCAAAAGACACATGTGGCTTGTGGCTACCATGTTTGATAGCTTATACGAGAACATTTTCATCATCACAGAAAGTTCTATAGGATAGTGCTGCTTAGAATCTAAGACTTATTTTGGTGGGGTACTTTCAGTTTCTCCCCCTTAATAAACAACAATATTTGAAATTTTGGAGCCAAGGCAAATTCATCTATTTCTTGTAGAATTTAAACAAATAGTACCCTTCACTAAAGAGCATTTATAAAAGACCTACCAGCATTTAGTAAGGTACCATCACAAAGACCTCCTCTCCACGATCTAGCGCACCTTCTTCCCCCTGACCATTTGCAAGCACTTGTGGAACCCAAGCTTAGACTCACCTTTGGAGTGTTTTCCTAAAGGCCTCCTGGGGAGCGACTCCTCTATGGAATGTGCTGATGTGTGTAGTGCATTTTCCAAACTATTACTGACACTGTTGATGGGGGTTTCAGTCCTTGGAGTGATCTGAGGGAACAGAAATACAATCATCTTACTTCCTTCCAGTTAGTTAATATGGAATGATTTTCACTGTTATTTAAAAGCTACTTATAATTATCTTACTCTGAAATTTTTCTGTAAAACTTGTGATACTTGTATAATAATAAGCACTTCCTGTGAAAGACAAAAAGTTCACCAATCTACTACTCCACAATGAACTTTAAAACAGCCCAGGTAACTGTACCAAACATGGCAGCTTTCTCTGTGTCTTGTGTCAGTGGTTCATTACATTGGCTAGAAACTACATTAGCTAATTGGGCATGAATTATATACTAGATGTGAAACAAAACTTTACTTCTGTATTTATTTAAGTCATATGATTTCCTGTAAAACAAGTCATACAACAGGATTAACACCATCCTTCTAGAAATCGTGCAAAAATCACAAAATGCTCTAAAAACAATGGTAAAGACACAATACAATCTATTTGGAGTACAGTTGGAAAAAACATATTGTAAAATTACAATTCTATTTTTAGGAATGCATCACACAGAAGTACCTACACATGGAAAAGACGTGTGTGAGGCTGCTCCCTGAAGCCAAGTTTGTAATCGTGAAACTGAGAGCATCTCAAAGATCCTCAGAGAGCTTAGATGAGCTACAGGACACTCACTTGTGGATATGATACACTCGTCAAGGAACAATAAAAGTGCCCCCACATATATTAAGTTTAAAAACAAGTCACAGAACAGTAAGTGTCATCCAGTCTGCTCTCCCTCTTTTGGATTTAAAATGAACGTGTCTGTGTATAAATAAATAAAAAGGGCCCAGAAGGATAAGGCCAACTCTGAACTGTGCTGACCTCTGCAGAGGAAATTAAGACTTTTTTGGGTGGGGTGGGAGGGGATGCAACAACTTTTTCCCCCCTCAATAAAGATCAGTATCTGAAAATTTAGTGCCCAAAATGTTTATCACTTGCAGAATTTAGAAGAATAAAAATTACCAATGCTTTGACTTCTTTACAGTCACAATTTAATGTACTTCAAAATTTCAAACAATATTAGAGAAAGGTGTAAGATTTTAAAATTTATCAAAGGAGGCATGAGTGGCTGTGTGTGTTTTCTGGATATAAACCCATTGCTGTTGAGTCAATTCTGACTCATAGCGACCCTACAGGACCGAGTAGAACTGCCCCATAGGGTTTCCAAGGCTATAATCTTTATGGAAGCAGACTGCCACATCTTTCTCCCACAGAGCGGCTGGTGGGTTCGAACCCTCAACCTTTTGGTTAGCAGCCAAGCGCTTTAACAAGTGCGCCACCAGCCCCCCGCCTCCCCTTTTTGAAAAAATATAAAGGGAAAAAGACGAGCACTGACTTTTGGTCTAATTCTGAGCAGCTGAGACCGGCTTTGCCTCTCTGGCCTTTATTTTCATTACTTATACAGTAGATGGAGATTGATCAAAATAACCTGAAAGCTCACTTGCAAGTACAGATCCTGCAACTCACTGTGGAAAGGTGTGGCCCAGGGAAGCAGAGCCTAGAGCTCTATAAAGCAGGGGCAGTGACCGTCCACCTTCCCGATGGGGCTGGAAGGGAGCAGTACAGCCGGCAAGGAGACTGCCCAGAGCAGCCACAGAACACAGTGTACAGCAAACAGTGGGAAAGAACACCATGTAAGTACCAAAAAAACCCAAACCCACTGCCATCGAGTCGATTCCAACTCATAGCGATCTGACAGGACAAAGTAGAACTGCCCCATAGGGTTTCCAAGGCTATAAATCTTCACAAAAGCTGACTGCCACATCTTTCTCCAGGGGAGCGGCTGGTAGGTTCAAACGCCGACCTTTTGGTTAGCAGTCGAGCGCTTAACCACTGCACCGCCAGGGCTCCTTCCCACATTAAAAAAAACAAAAAACATACCCATTGCCATCGAGTCGATTCTGACTCATAGCGACCCTATAAGACAGAGCAGAACTGCCCCATATGACTTCCAAGGAGCAGCTGGTAGAGTCGAACTGCTGACCTTTTGGTTAGCAGCTGAGCTCTTAACCTATACAGAGGTCAAAAACTCTGCCTTGTTGCCTCAATACCCTCCACGCATCTGTGCACCTAGGTTTGTTGAGGAGTAACTCACTAGAGAGACAGGGATGACCCTACTCTGATTTTATAGGTATATCCTGCCTCATTTGAACAAAAAAAATTTAATCAAAATTTTTATTTTATTTTCTAACCTAATATTTAAGGGGGGCCCTGGTGGCGCAAATGGTTAAGTGCTCAGCAAGATTAGCAGTTTGAATCCACACATCAACTTGAGAGAAAAGACCTGGTATCTGCTCCCGTAAAGATTACAGCCTAGAAAACCTATGAGGCAGTTCTACTCTGTCACATGGGACTACCATGAGTTGGAAACGACTCAATGGCACACAACAACACCAACACACGTTAAAATAAAAGAAGCCCTGGGGGCGCAACAGTTAAGTGCTCCGCTGCTAAATGAAAGGTTGGCAGTTTGAACCCACCAGCAGCTCTGCAAAAGAAAAGACCTGGTAATCTGCTCCTGTAATGATCATAGCCTAGAAAACCCCTGGGGTAGTTCTATTCCATCACATGGGGTCGATCCGAGTTGACATCACCTCAACAGCACACAACACCACAACCAAATATTTGCAGTATTATGTAGACAGCGGTGTTCAATCATTTACAGACCAAGAGCTGCAGTGAGACCACACACCATATCCGCTACTGCCTCCACCAAGCCCATGCAGCCGGGAGCCCTCTCTGGGCTCTGGAAGCTGCTTGCGTCTACTCAGGACTAACAGCTCCTATATGATACAAAAGACACCTTCCAAGAAAAGTCACTCACCACAAGTCTAGTTAATCTGGAAGTTTATAACTTGAGAAAATCAATCCTACCCATCCAGGATGCTTCCAAAAAGTCAACCCTTTCAATAACATTAACAAGATACTATCAAGAAACTACATTTTTTATTTATACTTACGGTTGAACTGAATTGGATTATTTCCTTTAGATTTGGGAGTTTCTTTTATCATTCAATGGCTAGAAACCAAAAAACCAAACCCATTGCTGTAGAGTCAATTCCGACTCATAGCAACCCTACAGGACCCAGTAGAACTGCCCCATACGGTTTCCAATAAGTGGCTGGTGGATTCGAAAATGAACTTCCTTCCCATTAAACAAGGTAAGAGGACTGACAGGTACAAGTAATTACTCAAAGAGCAAGATTTTTAGTCTAAGTAGTAAATATTACTTTGGGAAACAACGTAGGAGGTCAGTATTTTTCATTATATAACAAACATAACCACAGTAGTCCATCATATTTGACCTGACTCAGGAATCTCCATATTCTCTAGTTACTGTGGTAAGTAACTCTGAGTCCTGGTCCTACGGCCAGAGATATTTAGTTGCCTTGACAACCAACAAGCAAAGTACCAACCTTGTTGGCTAGTGATAAACCTCTCCTGCCCCAAATAGAGGCATATGTGAATAGAGACAAATTCTGGCACACACTTCACTTGCCCGCCCCAAAACATCCCAAAAAGCCACAAACAAGGAATCAGACTCTCACTCTAAACAGCTAGGGGGACGGGAGAGAACGGCAGAGTAGAGGAGAATGTACTATGAACATCAGGAGCCCTACGTGTGATGGACTAGATGCTGGTTCTCAATCCTGACTGCACACTGGAATCCCCAAGGCACTAAAAGAACACACACCAGTCAGTGCCAAGTCCCACACATCCTACTTAAAGCAGGATTTCTGGGTGTGGGGACGGGACACTGGTGTTTGGCCTTTTTCACATTTTGTTATTTAAGCTCCCCAGGTGATTCTAATTTGCAGCCACTGATGCTCCCATTTCCCAGTTTCATACGGAATGTATCATCTTGTCAATTCCCAGCAAGGACAAAGAGGAAACCCAGAGAAAACAGGAAGTTCCTTCCAAGGCTTAACAGGAAAAGCTGAAGGCTGAAGGTCTGTTTGCCGTGGCTACAAATAGAACGGGAAAAACTTCTAAACTACTCTAACAAAATATATGTATTGCATCTGACACAAATAAAAGGGCTCTGAAGAAAACTCTTTAAAATTATAATTACTGGAAAAGAAATATGTTTTCCTCAATATTTTATGCCAAAGCGATTCTTAGTTTTCCAAATGTTCACTTTTTCCAACCGAGCCTTTGTCTTTACTTTGCTCCTTTGTTTACATTGAAAGGTGCCTCCCTTGCACTTCCCAGAAATGCTGTTTTGGGTTATTTTTGGTGGAGTTAATTTGCCCACGTGACCTGGGCAGTTAACTCGCATGCTCTCTGACTCATCCGCACACTGCACAGCTCCAGTGGCCGGCGGATGTACACGAGGACACAGACCTGATCAGTTCCAAATGTCGCCTGCTGCTACTGCTAGGAAGGCCACGACAGAACGCTCTTCAGGGGCCAAGCCCAACTCAACCTTGAGATATTTTTTCTACTAAGTTCAAAATTTTTTTTTCTGCAAGGACCTCACTTAGTTTTTTAAATGAACGATTAGTACACGCTCCACTGTGCTGCCTAATCACAGCTCATCATCAAAGCCGGTCATTCCTACGACCTCCAAGGGTGGGCCTCCAGTGCCCGGTTCCTGTGATGACGGCAGTCAGCCTGAAGGCCTTTGCACTGACTGTCCCCACTGCTGAACGCTCTTCCCCAACATGTGCACAGCTTGCTCCCTCATTTCCTTCAGGTCTGTTCTCCAGTGTCACCTTCTGAGCAAGGTCTTCTCTCTGCTCAGTAGGGCAGGGATTTTTGTCTGCTTTGTTCACTGCTGTATTGCCTACGCTTAGAACGGTGTCTGGCACAAGGCAGGCACTTAATAACTATCTTTTAAATGGATGACTGTATCACCAGATTTTAATGAAATTCAGGATTAAACAGATAAAAAAGCACCATTGTTTCGAAGTAAAATTTCTGCAATCTACATTACATTACATACAATCACCAGAGTATTTCACCATATTTAATGAAGCACTGACAC